GGGTAGGGTAAAGAAAACCCTAAATTTTGTTATGCATATATATAATTTTATAATTATATATATTTTTAATAATTAAATTAACAGTTGATCAGTCGGTTTGGACTAAATTTACCTAACCGACTGATCGACCGGTTGGTTTTGTGAACACAAAACCGACTCGACCGACCGACCGGTTTTAGTCGGTTGGGGTGGTTTTTCAGTCACTTTTGTACACCCCTAGCAAATGTTGTGATTTGGCAAGCAATGGTTGTTGGGTTTTGGATCATATCATCATGGGAGTGACCTTGATCACCTGTTGTGGCTCTGTCCTTTCTTAATCTCACTGTACGTGGCTTTTAGGAATGCTTTCAAAGTCAGTTTGGCTCCTCGTTAGTTGATCAGGGATGCTCTTGTTGAGCTATTTCTTCATCCTCCATTCTTGAGGAGAGGGAGGTTTTTATATGATGGATGGATTTTGTTGGCGTGGTTTGTTCTATTTAATTGGAAGAATTAGGGGTTTTCAGGATAAAGTTGCTTCATGGTAGCATGTTTGGAGTGCATGCACACTTTAATGCCTCTTTGTGGGTATCTATCTACTGTATTTGGACTTCCCTTTTATGATTTCTTGTAACCTAGGAAGCACCGACACGCCAAAATGGGATGGGTGTCGGTGTCGGACACGTGTTCGACACGTGATTAAGGTGTCCAAAGTTTTATTTTTTATTTTTAATTTTCGGACACGCAGTGAATACGCGTTTGACATGGACGGGATACGCCAGTGGGTTTTTTCTTTTCTTTTCTTTTTTTTTCTTGTTAAAGCAAGTGTTTTTAATGAATTTGGACTTCGATATGGTTTTTTAATGAATTATTAGGCCCAAAGCTCATTAGGGTTATGTAAAAGTAAATCTAGTTTTACTTCTCTCTTCCCCTCTTGGATTCACGCACGCAAGGTCAAATTAAACCTAGTCTATCTTTGGATGAGCCAGAATTGGAAGCCGTAGTTTTTATTGATGATGGGACTCAAATTGGTGAAGATGATACTAATAATGTTAGGGAAAATGTTTAGAAGGCTTTGTTCCATTTTGATTTATAGTTTTTGTTTGTAAGACTTGTTTTATTGGGTATTGGATGTTGTTTATGACATTGATTATTGCATCAATGTTATGTACCTATGGTATTTATGTTGATGTTTAAAGGTAAAAATAGTATTAAATATTGATAATATGATAAAATATGCACACATATATATATTAAAAAAAAATTAACATGTCCCAGTGTGTCGTGTCCTACTTTTTTGGAAATTGACGTGTTGCTTTGTCCATGTCGTGTCGTATCCGTGTCAGTGCCTCTTAGCTTGTAACTGGGAAGCATATTTGTCAATTTTCCCTCTCTTTTGGCCTTTTTTTTGTGTACTCAAACCCGATGATTTTCAGTGGTCCTTTTTCCTTTTTTGTAGTTGTGCACGTATTGAAAAATGGAAAATCTTCCACTTTCAATCAGAATGGATTTTCCAAGCGCATGGAACAAAGACGTTTAAAGTGATATATTGACATGTCAATTATTAGGTTAGTAGCATACTTTTGAGACCTTTTAATTTATTATATGCCAAACGATGATGTTCGTATAAACTAATTGGAGAAGGAATTTTCCCCACTTTTTGTTCTTGAGGTTGCAAAGTTTTATCTGGATTTCCTTAATGAATATCACAAGTTTTTTTTGTTTTCCAGGCTATGCTGAATGCGTGGATGATCACTTGGAAATTGTGGTCCCTGATGATGATAATGGGCTGTATGCAATTGATATTTTAGATCCATCTTCGGTAAGATAACATGAAAATTTCTACTTGTCAATTGCTAATCAAATTACATCGAGGCCTTTACAAGATAACTTATTCATCATTCTTTTAGTGTAATGGGTGAGAAAATTTCTCCAATTTTGACCTCTTCACTAAATTATCACACGTCTTTTTTTTTTCTTGCTTTTCTTTACTCCTTTTTCTATTTTTGGGTGTGTATAGGAGGTGGGTGTAGTTATTTACATGAATTTCTTGAGAGTCTATACGCTTTCCTTTAGTTCCTGACATTTGCTACAAGTTGATTATTAGTGCTGCTCTAAGGTTGATTTGAACTTTAAATATTTGCTACCAACGGAAAGAAAATTTTATGCAGAAATATAATTTCTATTAGTAGCCTCGGTTAAATGCTGCTCTAAGGGTGATGAAGTAACTCTACCCTTTCTTTTCCTCTTCACCATTGTGATAGACCCCAAATCTCTAAAGTGTATGAACATACACTACAAGAAAGTTGGTTTCTTCCGACGTTTTTTTTCCGGCGTACAAAAAAACGTTGGGAAAAATCACTTCTCCCGATGTATCTAAAAATGTCGGGAAAAGTCAACTTTTCCGGAAGTTTTAAGAAAATTTTGGGAAAAATTAATCTTTTCCCCCATTTTTTTAAAAAACGAGGGGAAAAGTGAGACTTAAAAATGAGGAAAAAGTTTAATTTTTCCCTATGATTTCTAGAAAACGACGGGAAAGGTCTCACTTTCCCTGAAGTTTTTAGAAGACAGACAAAGTATAGAAAATGCTGGGAAAAATTAAACTTTTCCCCACTTTTTTAAAAAATGAGTGGAAAAGTGAGACTTAAAAATGAGGGAAAAGTTTAATTTTTCCCAACATTTTTTCCTCGATGTTTTTTAAAATTTCATTCACCCGCCTCTTTTTCTTCTCTCTTTATCCATCGTTCTTCCCCTTCTTTTCCCCTCTCTTTCTCCATCTTTTTCTCCTTCTCGTTCTCCCTTGTTTTGCTCTCCCTCTCTCAACTCTCAGACTCCATGAATGGCGACGTCCAGGGCGACTCCACGACGACCATTTGTTTTCTTGTACTTACAATCATTTCTCTTTATTACATAAAAAATAGGCTAAATTACAAAAATACCCTTGAACTTTACCATTTGTTTAAAAAATACCCTTATCATTTCAAAAGTTTCTATACTACCCTTCAGCTTTCATAAATATTTTAAAAATATCTTTTGATCAAACATATGTTAATAATTTTGAATGGAAAGTTAACATGGTATAATATGGAATGACGTGGCAATTATTGTCAAGAGAGTTTGCTTTCTATTATCTACCAGATTTTGCCCCATTCCCCTTTTAAAAACGATAGTTTCCTATACATTTCTACTATTTCCAGACTTAATCTAGGCAAAATTCCACGTTAATTGCCACGTCGTTCTAGATTCTGCTACGTTAATTTCCGTTTAAAATATTGACGAATGTTTGCTCAAATGATATTTTTGCAACGTTTATGAAAGGTCAATGGTATTATTGAAACTTTTGAAAGGATAGAAGATTTTCAAGACAAAGAACAGAAGTTCAGGGTATTTTTTACAATTTAACCTAAAAAATAGGTTGAATTACAAATTTTGGTCTTTGAACTTGGGTTGTGTCAATTAAGTCTCTGAATTTAAAATAGGGTCTAATAAGTCTCAAAACTTTCAATTTGTATGTAATAGGTCCCCAAACTTAAAAAAGTGTCTAGTAAATCTTTTAACTTTTAATTTTGTGTCCAATAGGTCTCTGAACTTTAGTAGGTGCCTTATAAGTTAGGGATCCATTTGGAATAGGACTTGTCTTTGTTTGGTTGGCTTTTTTACACGAACATGAAGATCTATCTACATTCAATATTGGTCACCCTTTCAAAAAAGGTGGTGGAATTTTTTGGGTTCAGTTAATCAGAGCCTTCCTACAGAGTATTTGGCTTGAAAAGGACAATCAAGCTTTCAACAACATATCCCTCCCTTTCGTCGAATCAGTAGCCTCAATTAGTTTCCCCTTTTTCCACAGGTCCCACATTTCCATTATCATTAAGAGGTCTTCTATCTGTTGCCACCTCTAACACTACCACACCAAAGCTGTAAATATCTGTCTTCTCAGTGGGAATACTCGAATAAACAAACATACCCTCCGTTTCAATAGATTCTACTATAAAGTTTTATTTTTAGCTCTTGGTTGGTGTAAATGTTTTTATTCTCCATTTTCAAATTATAGTCTCAATGGTCTCATGAAAAATTGGAATGCCTTTTTGTATTCCAGTTATGGGGGCCCATCTTTCGTAAATTTCATTCATTAATGAAATTGAAGTTTCTTACAAAAAGAAGTTGGGATCTATTAGAAACAAAATATTGAAAATTTAGGGACTTGTTAAATATAAATTTGAAAATCAATGAGAAGTTTGTATCTTGTTAGAAAAAACTAAATACAAAATTCAAAGTTTAGAGATATGTTGGACACTTTTTAAAGTTTAAGTATCTATTAGACACAACATTAAAAGCTTAGGGACCTATTAAATATTTTTAAAGTTCAATAACCTATTAGACATAACCCTTAAAGTTGAGGACCAAACTTATAATGTAACCCAAAAAAAAATCATGCATCATAAGGAGAATGTTGGTAATGCATTGGCTTTATCCAAAAATGGTTGCTTTATGCTGATACATTTTTCTCTATTGTTATTACAAAAAATAAATTCAGATATGAAATAAGTACAGAGAGTTTGTACAGATCACATCTTTACTGACAAATGTAGAAGGAAAGGATAGGTTTACAAGTGTAGAACTACTATTGAGGTTTTTGATTTTAGTTTCTTTTTTTTTTTTTTTGGATAATAAACAATGATTCATTCCAAAAGAAAAGGAGCTGAAAAAAAAGAGGCATACAACCTAGGGGCAGAGGGTCGAGAAGACCCTCCCCAAAAAACTATACAATCAAGGAATTCCAACTCTGAAGAGTCAAAAGAAAACCGTAGTTACAAAAAACTTTCTTGTGGATTGAAGCCCACCAAGAAGCCGTATGCCTAATATTCACACATAAATCTTCAATAGAACTCTGTTTCTCTGCAAAAATTCTGTTGTTCCGTTCCTTCCAAAGTGATTTTAGTTTCTAGATGAAGCTCTTTGTTTCAATTCTCCCTTCTCATCTACAACATTTGGGGAGCCTTCATGTATTCTCCCTTGGTACTTGGGCTTTGGGTGGATATCTTGCCCGTCTCACCCATTGCTTATATTACTTTAGGATATTCGATACTAATAAATAGTCTCATGCACGAATCCCAACCATTAAATTTATTTTTGCCTCTTCGCATACCGCCCCTATCTAGTCTGCACCAGCTATTTATGAGTTTTATTTACTGTTACAGCTGGTAAAATGCCTCCATGTGGATGATGTGTATCATTTTCATGATATGATTGATATGCTTGTTGGATGCGGGTACAAGAAGGGAACCACATTGTTTGGTTATGGTTATGACTTCCGGCAAAGTAATAGGTAGCTCATTCTGTCCCTTTATTGTTTTAGTGTCAAACATTCATGCCTGATATTATTGTAGTTGCTAGTAGCCAAAGGTTGTTTTATTTACTGCAAATTTGCAAGTCTATACACGAGTCAAAGTTGATGTAAGAGCATTGGTTGTTTCTTGGTGACAGAATTGGCAAGATCCTGGATGGTCTTAAAAAGAAGTTGGAAACGGCCTTTAAAGCTTCTGGTGGTAGAAAAGTGAATTTAATATCTCATTCTATGGGCGGGCTGCTAATTTCGTGTTTCATGTCGCTTCATAATGATGTGTGCACATACTCTCTTAATGACTAGTTGAAACTTACATCGTTGTACATAAGCTTGTTTCATGGATTTGACATGATGTGATTATTGTTCATTGGCAGATTTTTTCCAAGTATGTAAATAAGTGGATCAGTATAGCTTGCCCTTTTCAAGGTAAATCGTACCCATTGCTTCTTCTTTCCCTTTATCCGTCACTGTAATCCAATTGACCTGGGACATTTTTTCTTACATTTTCACCATGCTGCCTGGTTTTGAAGCCATTAAAAAAGTACTTATCTGACTCTATTGTTAACTGTTCTGGTTTTCAGCTTCAAAACTTACTACTGTGGTTGAGGTTGTAGGGGTCAAGCACTTTTTGTCGTCTAAGAATAGCTCCAAATCCATATAGTGTGAAAATCAATAATGTTTCTTTTTTTTTTTTTTTGGGTAAGAGACACAGAAGTTCCGTTTTAAAAATAAAGGGTTATACAATCAAAAAGCAAGGAGATAAGTCATCTCCTTTGAAACAACCAGAAATGGGGAACTATGAAGGTTTCCAATCCAAATCGATAACACTAGAAAAATTTTCAAAACATTTGTATGACTTAGTTCAAAGAGAAGCTATATGTATATGCTGTATATTCTCCTTATTGGACATTAATAATAGTTGTTATCTGCCTCTTCCCCTCTATTATTCTAAAAGTCTGTTACGAATCTGGCTGTGATATGATATTCATTGCACAAATTATTAACAGGTGCACCAGGATGCATCAACGATTGTCTGTTGACTGGATTGCAATTTGTTGAAGGCATTGAAAGCCAATTTTTCGTATCTAGATGGACTTTTCACCAGCTGGTAATTTTCCTCCCATCAGTGTCCATGTGGTTTAGTTACACCTAAAATGGGAACTCGTTCTGTCATTTTTCGTATCTACCATCTCGTTTGAGCAATGACTACAGTTTTATTTATTTTAAGTAATAATAATATGAAACAAATTTTCATTGATATTATGAAAAGTACAAAAATAGATTACAAGAAGGCTCTCCAATTAGTTTTAATAACAAAATAATCATGATTACAAAAGATTGCAGAAAGGGTAGACCAAGTCATATTTCCTCCCAATCTTTCTCCCTTACTTTCTTTATGAATCAATTAAAGTTTGCTTTTGACTCTTTTCACCCAAATAGTGCATGCTCTTTAAGTTGAAGGAAAAAAAAGGGCAAAGAGATTCTACACGTATTCTTTTTTCTCTTCACTGGTAACTTCTTTTTCTATGTTCTAAGATTTATTGGTGTTTTTTCACGTAATATAAGAGACTTCTGAAATCAAATATTGAGTAGTTGTCTTGTTGAGGATAATGTTAAGATATTTTTAGCTTAAAGCAACTAAGGCCACTCTATGGAAAGTAGATATAGGAAGGAATAAGAGGACTTTTGAAGAAATTGATTGGAATGTTTGTGAGTTTCGAGCTCTAGCATACTTTATATTTCTTCTTGGAGTTTCTTAGCCGGGATTTTCAATAATCTCTCTTCCTTTTATCATTAATGCCACTTGGAGAATATTTTTATAATCTTCATTTACTGGTTGGATATCTTATCGACCATTCTTTCTTTTGTTCATGACTTCATCTCTCTTTACTGATATTATGCTTATGTTTGTAATAAGAGAAAATAAGTGATAATGACACTTATTAATGTATAATATAATCATGAATTGTCATAAGTTATCACCTTTTTTTATTTGCAGTTGGTTGAATGTCCTTCAGTTTATGAGATGCTGACAAATCTAGGATTCAAGTGGCATGCACAACCACAGATTCAAGTTTGGCAAAAAAATTCTGTTGATGGGAAAACTTCTGTTGGTTTGAAGTCATATGGCCCAACTGAAAGTTTTGCTTTATTTGCAGAAGCATTGAGAAATAACGAGGTACTATATTCAAACTTTACATTGATTGGTGATAGATTTGGTATTACTCTATTTGCAAATGCATTAAGAAACAACGAGCTGCTATGACTATATTTAGGAGTGCTTTTGACATGTCCAAAAGCACTTTCCATTCCACTCAATAATTATGTTTGGGAGCAACTTAAAAACATTAGAAAAAGTAAAAAAAGCACTTAAAAAGTATTTTGTGAAAAAGCATTTGTAGAGTTATTTTGAAGAATTTCAAAAGCACTGTTGAAAGTATAAAACCAAGCATCAAAATGATTTATTATTAAGCACTTTTTAGGATGCTTATTAAAATAATTTATCCATTAAAAACTCCCAAACACACCCTATATTAAAACTTTACACTGATATCTGATAGCTTTGTTATATTGATACGTTCAGGTTTTGGAGGATTTTTTTTTTTCTTTTTTTAAAATTTAATAGGAAAGGGTGAAGAGATACTAGAATTTGTAGTCCTTTGAAGATGCATTCAGACGTTTGCTAGGAACTTTATTTTTGGGAGCTGGGGGGTGGTAACTTCCTGGTAGCTTAACCTTCACAAAGCAACTTAAACTTAGAGAACAAAGAGTATTAAGATTGAGCCTGTTTCCTATCGACAGAGAAAAAAAGATTGAGCTTGTTTAGTTTATCATATTATATGGATTTGTAGGACAATTAATCACTAGGATCAATAACAGCACCAATTAAATAAATAATCAACACCAATTTTTATTATTTTTCAAAATTATTTTTTCATTTCCCATTTTTTTGTGTAATAAAGAAAGCAGTTCACTTTAGAGAAAAGAAGTATCTTACAACTTTCAATGACCTCACTGCGATTAGTAATGAAAGGTTGGTTAACAAATTGATTAGTACTTAACAAATTTCCAGCTTACCTTGGTTTGTTGATTAGTAATGGGGTGCCAATTGATCTCTTTGGCCAACAAATTTCCTGTCTGCCACTGTGACGTGAGGTTGGGTTCAGAATAATATTGTCTTCACAAAAGGTACCACCAAAGGATGCGATCATTTTATGGGTTGCAGAGTAGCTAGGAACAGACAACTTGACGGCTTTTATGCCCAGCTTACCTTGGTTTGGTGGTGTATCGCGGATAAAAGCAATACATCCATAGATTTTTAAGGTTAATAGGAAGAGCTTGGTAAAAAATGCTCTGTTCTCTCTCCTCTCTCTTCCTTCCCTTCCTTTCCTTTCGGTCCCTCTTTTGCTGTTAGTTTCTGAATTAGCCTGTCTCTAGCTTGATTTTAATCTTATTGTTCGTGGTTCATTCCGGTTTTCATTATGGAAATCAGTAGTTGTTGTATTGATGGCTCCTTCTTCTGTATTTGGGGTGAGAATGATATGTTCAGGGTTGAGGATGTGGCAAGG